TCAAGAATTCAGCTATTTGACAAGATTATGAACTACACCAATCAAAGTATTGATGAGTTCAATCTCAGCTGAGGCCGCAAGAATAAGTGGTTCGACATAGAGAGGGATAGGCTCCGTCAGGTCAACTTGACAAGATAAAATATGCATGAATGAATACCTCACCAGTTTTCAACACAGATATTTGGAAGAACTGGTCAGGTTCTCAACTGTACAACAACTCTATGACCATACCTGGTCATGGGAATAATGATGGTGATGATGATACCAGGTTTAATGGGTTCCCCATATGCATACATGTGGCTAGCGGTAAAAAAAAATAATCCACTCCCCCATAAAACTTTATGCTTGATGCATATGGCCTATGAATCTCCAGGTACATGGCAATGTTTCATTTTTATTGAGTTTTGTGTGAAAACAAAACACAACTGAACATAGTTTTATTTACCTACCTACTTGGCTTAATGCAAGGACCCACACCTGTACATATAGAAAGAAACCAAAATTACCTAGTTCCTGCAGTTAGCACTTCAAATGTGCCAGGTCATTTTAAAACAAAAATTGTCCAGTCTCCATGACCACTGACACCAACTCAACCTATTTTAGTGCAACGAGGCAAGTGTTGCCACAGGGTTAGAATCTTCATGAACAGGTTTTTTCTCCCATATCATGTGAATAGAGAATATATCCCGGCCACATGTCCGATGACACAATGCCGAGTTTAAAGTAAGAAGAGAAGCGTCAAGACTAAGAAGAGTCTCACACGTCCATAGGACCAGAGGCCCAAATTTTCCAGTCCTCTCAGTCAGTATTTTACCTTTGGGACACCAAGGATTAAACCAGTGGGGGATGTACTGCATGAGTGGAATTAATTACTTCATGCTTCCAAGCCGAAAAGCTGGGAATCTGTATTAGTAAGTTTTAAAAAAATACACTTTTGAAGAGCTCTGCAATAAAGATCAACTTTAGATGTCATAGAGTTATCTCCCTTATTTTGTGGTCGTCACAACAATACCGTATGATTATATCATGGTAAGTTAACTGTTACAAAAGAATCCGTTCGATATTTTAACAATATTCTAAAATTTATAGAAAAAATGATTTTCATGAATATAGTTTATATATGGTTTATTTATAAGTGTCTTCTAAATAGTTTTTTTTTTTCCGTGTTGTCTGCTATGTTGACGTGACCCAAGAAGAGGTTCTACGAACTCGACACTTTCTTCACGCACATGTAATGCTTTTTACTTTCAGATGTTTTTAAGGTCTTACGTGTACAAAAACTAAAAATTTGGCCTTTTCAAAGACGAAATAATATCAGTGTTGGTTTATTTAACACGAAAAATGTTAATAGAATTTGAAATAATACTGTATTTTTAAAGTTTCAAACATAAGTTTATTTTTAAATTTAGGGGAATGTTCTGTTTTTAAATACACTTTCAAAATTATTCAGCAGGTGAAGTAAAACTCATTAAAAGTCTTATTCATTATTCTTCTTTCACTTTAAAAAAAAAAAAAAATTATGATTTAAATTTTATCAGAATAATTTTGTTTTTCTTTTTTGAAAAGAATGGGGAATTAACTGAAAAAAAAATCAGCATTTTAATTTAAATTACCTTCAGCTTCACAATCGCCTCAACAACAAAACAAATATTTTTTATTTACACCGCAAATGTAATTTTCTTTTTTGGTGGGGATTAGCTGGGGGTTCACTTATGTTACACGTGTTTGATTTAAATTTCCTTCCTGATGATGGAAGTGTAAGGAAAGCAAGAAGCTTGTGGGGGGAAAAAGAAAGAAAAACAAATTGTTTTGCCCCCTAAAACAACAAAAGCAAAAAAGTAAAACGAATTAAAATACCATAAAACGGAAAATTCGATAAACTTTTTAAATTTTCATATCGCCTAAAAAGATCCACACACACATTCACCTCAGAATATGAGATGTTATCGAAAATTCTTGGGATGTAGGGAAAGAAAAAAATATAATCGATAAAAAAATAGGTCCTCTGTTTTCAGCTGTAAAGATTTTCTAGACATCTGTGAAATATCCGGCGAGACATAGGAAACGCTGTGAAACAGATGCAAATTGATTTACTGTTCAAAATTCTCAAATTTGTTACAGTCTGCACCTATAATTTTTCAAGTTTTTTTTTCTTTTTTGACAGTTCAAATCATTAAAGAATAATTTTTACACTGGTCAAATAACAGCTAGATTAATTTTTTCAATCACTAATTTCAACATTTCATGCAGACAATATTTTTTAGATTTAAGATGCCAATAAATGAAATTTATTATTTACATCTTATGAAATTAACAGAAGATACTTGATTTATTTGCACTTTAACCTTTTGCACTCTGTATTATTGATATTACTTCCCTTTCTTTTGCATTCCTTTTCAAGTCTTCTCAATTGCAGTATCCTTATTGTTTCACTCAAAGTTGTTTTCTGTTGCCATAGCAGGATATGACAACACAACTATGAAATTCAAACACACTATTGTTCAGGGATCAGTCACCTTCAGTAGCAGGATAAACTTTTTGTACAGCAAATGAAATCACAGAGTAATAAAGGTTAAATCCAAATGACTAATCTGAAGATCAAAAATGCAGTTTATTGATTGTTATTATTTCAATAATTATTCAAATGAGTATCCTCATTTTTGTTGTTTTTGGTTACTATTTTTTTTTCAATGCTATATTCTTGGACATTCCTAACATTTTTTGAAATTCTGAAATAGAGTATCATCATTATTTCATGAATTAGTCCAAGTAGTCTCCTTATTACTACTAATTTTAACTAGTATTTACTTTCCTGTTTTTTTTTAATTACTTTTTATTTCAACTCTGGCCTTTAATGTACGTTTTTTTCTGAGACAGAAGGGATGTGAGTTCAAACCTGTGTTGTCTACTCACTGCCATAGCCTGGGCAAAGCTATAAAAAAAAGCAACTAAAAATAAAATTGTGATTTGCTTACCTTGGTTTGTCTGAATATGGAATAAATTGAAAGTTCTTCATCTTAGAATTTTGCATGTTGCTTGGCAGGCCAAAGAGTGTATTGGTCAAAATGTATGGTCTACTGGGGTAAAATGGGTAAGATAATGCCTATTTTGAAATTCAAATCCTCATATTATTTTCTCTAGAGGACTTAATGAGAAAAAAAAAGCCACTATGTTTGCATCATAAGTTTTCTCTTTAAGGCAGCATAGTTACTTGGTGACCTATATGAACACATAACTTATGAAACAAGCTTTGTTTGGACCTTACTTTTTGTATGAAATTGGAAAGGATCCCGGGATAAAATGGGTATCTATTATTTTCTTTTGCATTACACGTACCCTAATAAATAGCTTGAGATTGTTGTAGATCTAGGAAGGCTTCATGAATATTTAAAGTTGTGCTGCAAATAAAACATGCATCATTCACAAACATAAATTACAAAAAAGGGTCAAATTCAGTTATGACAAAAAGGATATGTTTGGAACAACAAATTAATTTTTTATATGCAGAATATTACAATTTTTGTTTTGTAATGATGTTTGTTTTGTAAAGCTTGATCAGAGTATTTTAAAGAGAAAAGTTCTTGTTCTGTTTTGGAAATGTTTTGTATGTTTGTAGTGTAGTTTGGAAAATTTCATACATACGTGCATGTGTGAATATGTTTTTATAAGTGTCTGACCGCACATGGTCAAGACACAAATCTTTTAAAATTACATTTTTGTTGGTGAATGCAGTCAAGGAAGAGAAAGAGAATGAACTTGTGTCTAGTATTTATAATTAATGTAACCACGTGGTAGGTTCCTGGAAAAAGATCAGGAAAACTTGGTCACACACTGGAAAAAGACTTGTATGTGGGTGGATTGCAATGCACACTTGTGTGTTTATTGACTAATTAAAAGTTAAGATTTGCTGAAAATATGTATGAAGCTGGGTAAGCTCTTTGATCCACTTTTTGCACAGATTTGTATAAAATTGACAAGAAAGTGGTATCAGAATGCTAAAAGATTATATGCTCTTACTAAACACTTTTCAATCACATATCAGTCACTTTGGGGTCAAGCACTGTTAGCAAAATAGGGAATATTGTATTCTTTGTCTACGCTGTCTATTGCCTCTCCAACATCTACTTTAGCCAAGGCATCTGTCAGATTCTCCATATCATGTTTCTTGGGTATATAAGTTCGAGGCATATTATAAAACTTTCAGTGATTTTATTAAGCATTTCAGGACTAGAGGCAAGCAAACATGACCTTAAAATCAAAATTGGGTAAAAAAAAGTATGAGTGAAGAAAACAGGTACATTTTAAAGACAATGATTCATTTGAAATGTGCACAGAATCTTACATATCAAGTTACCCATTTTACCCCAACTAAAAAAGGTTGATATTTTTCAGCAAGTGGCTATCACAGAAGTCAATACACTACAGAAAATCAAAGATTGTGACTCAATGTTACTTTTACAGACACTTTTTGATCATTGACAGCCTGAAATTCAGAGAAAGCACAAAATATTGTAGAATAAACAAAAAATGCAAATAAGATACTGATCTTATGAAGTCCTTCTCACCAACAACCCAAAAGTGAAAGAAAAGCAATATTTGGCTTTGTTAGCAAATTTATACAGGTAAGGTGTCTGGGTAGCATAATACAGGCACACAATCCCACAATTCATTTCAGAGAATTAACAATGGCACATCTATCATGGCTAATACTTTGCATACCCCTTTTACCCCACTAGACCTTAATGACGAAAAACCATGATAGGATGATACAAGTTTAAATAATTCATGCAATAATGTACATGTTTAGAAATAAAAATATATAATTCAAATCTTTTTTTTTTTCTTTACAGATTTTAAATTAATCTATTGTGTACATATCAGCCATGAAGCCACTTTTACAGTGTGCAACTGAAGTATGGAACTCAGTGTGCATTCATGTCAAACGAAGTGTTGTCTTCATTGACAGTGTGTGCTCTGAGATTCTACACTGGAATGGCGGTATGTTAAAGCTAGTGGCAGCTGGGGCATTGGATGTCAAGGAATTTTCATCATTTGAGGTAGGTTATTGTTATTGGTAATTTCTTAACTGCTGTGATATTTCTGATGCAAACCTGATTTATTATAAATATAAAAACAAGAGCAAATAAATTTTCATAGAAAATTCAATTTATATTTTCACAAAACCATCTTTTTTACTTTATCAAGTGTAGTTGGTTAAAAAATTATAGTGCCAGCTTTATTTTGATTAAAAATTAAAATTGATTTGAAAAAAAAAATCACCCAAAATTTTTACATATATATATTATTTATTTATTATAATTTTATCATATAGACAAAACCATTTTATTCACTATATGTATATTTTTCTTCTCAAACAAATGGAAAAAAGAAAGTGATGTTTCACATACGGCTTGCCTATAAGCAGGATTTTTCATAACCATTTTCGATTCTCACCCGTCGAAGTGCAGTTGAAATGCATTGAAACCAAGTTGCATCTTTGTAGTGAGTAAAATGGTTTTGTCTATATGATAAAATTATAATAAATAAATAATTATCACTCTACTATTGGTATTGAGCTCTCTTTTGGAACGTTGGAATTTATATATTAATTTCGTTCTCATCACATCTGATATATATATATATATATATACACCAAATTACCTGTACCTTGTTGTGTGCCACACATTTTTTTTTTGTCAGAAAATGATTTTAAATCATTGTTATAATTTGTGGAGAAAAATGATGCATTTTAATATTACTCAATGATCTTGCCAATGTGACTTCCATTTTTTGGTTTTATCCTATATTTTGGATAGGAGTTATTCCTTTGTTCAAATTTAAACTTAATTTAAATCAAAAGGAAAAAGTTTTCAGTTGGGAGGGGATGCCCCAAAGGGAGTCCCCTCTGATCAAAATGAAATATACTTATCCAAGTACCCTGGGTAATCTAGTTTCAGAATATATATGATTATGGGGGTCTATCTCCAAAACCCTACAAGGAGTTCAATAACAGACAGAGGCTACAGCTTTATATATATATATCCAAATGTAAAAGAACAAAGAATAAAATTTGAACGTTTAATGCATTAATTTATAACAGGGCTCAATACAAAAGTAGAGCAATAAATATTTATCATACCCTGTTACATTAGAACATGTAAATATGGTACCATTATTGTTAACCACCTGAAGAAACGTTTGATTGTAATGCTGAAACAAAATGTACAATTTTATAGTGGATATTTACATGTTCTCATGTAACAGTATAATAAATATATATATATATATTTATATATTTTTTATTAAAAGGTGTGTTTTATAATTTTTCCCTCAAATGTTTTAACAGTTTCAAAACTAAAGTTATATAATAAAAATGACTATTGAGACAATATGATTCTATTCAATATGTCTGCTAGGAGAGTTAAAAAAACTTGTTTATACATTTTCACATAATGCTCACATGCGCACGCACACACACACACACACACACACAGAGAGAGAGAGAGGCTGCGATGGCTAAATTGTCGTCATGGTTGTCAGACAATTTCTGCAACCATATCACCACTTACATCTGGCCATCTAACTCACCAGATTGCAGCCCCTTTTTCTTTAAACAATTGCTCTAGCCGTTACCATAGAAATTTTGATTTCAATAATGAATATGCTTATAAAACACGTAAATTTCAGAAATAAGTTATTCCAAAAAAAATTTTGCTTGAAGATGGAACAGAGCTTAGTACTTTAATTCAATTTAATTCAAATAATTATATTGAAGTTTTCAGCTCTTGCTTTGAAACATGAGAACTCTTACGTAGCATGTTGGAATCATATTTTTAAATAATAATTATATACATATATATATATATATATATATATATATAGAGAGAGAGAGAGAGGTGTGGATATGTGTATGTTAGAAAATATATATGAGGGCACACTTATATATATATATATATATGGGTGTATATAAATAGTGATATGTATGAGTATAATTTTCAATTTTTCTATATCATGAAATTTTATTTGATTTCTACTCTTGTTAGTTGAAAGTTTTTCTTTTTTTGCATTGTAAATAAAATCATTTTGTTAATTTTTAGAGTGCCTCTCCTTGCCAAAAGAAAGCTGTGTTTATTGTTAGTAGCATCCTCCATGATGTGACAGCAGCAATCATTCGAGATGTGATCCTGGCCAGTCAGTTTCAGTATGTGGTTGTAATCACAGCTGTCAGTCCACAGGTTCATGTCTTCAGTAAAATGGGAAGTCACAGTCCAGACCTTATTGGATCTCTTGGACTTGACCTCTTTCAGCAGTTTGAAGAAAATATATTAGAATGGATGGGTAACATGGTAAGTCTTTCATTCTTATCTGGAAAGAATTTCTTTCTTTTCAGCTTTATCTCAGTTTTTATGCCTGTTTATTTTCTTGTTTTCTATTTTAAAATACAAATCATTTTTTTTTCAAGTTGTCTCATTTTTCAACCTGAATCAAACAAAAAAAATATTATGGAGAATAAACTAGTCTTTACTATCTTGTCCATTATAAATATGTATGTGAAATAAAACTTGTAATAAGCATTATCACAACTAAGTAGAGAAATTAGAGGCCCAAAGACAGATTGTCTTTTGATGAAGAGAGTAAAAATCAGAACCGTTTATGGCCATTTATGCAAATGCAGCCATTAATTAATATTTTTTTAAATGTTGAAAAGTCTATCTTTTTAATATATTCTATTGTTTTACATTATTTATATAGACAAAAATATTTAATTAAATGCTCTGTTTATAATAAACAGTATTAAACAACATTTACCAGCCTGAATGTCCCAGAAATTTTCAGAGAAAATATGTGTCCTTTGACAGGAATCAAACCTGATCTTACACAGAACCATCATATAGCCTAACATGCTATACCAGTTTAGCTACAGAGGAGCGTCTGGTTAATAATGTCGATTTTAAGGCTTTTAAACTACAATTTTCCATGATTTCTCTTGTAGTGTGTGACATCATTTGTTTATGTTTATATATGCTTCAAGCAGATATGAATATTCAAGGGAAATCATGGGGGAGTTACTTCATCCTCATTGTTGTCACCATGCGTGGGAGGTAGTTCATCCTCATTGTTGTCACCATGCGAGGACGAACTTCATCCTCATTGTTGTCACCATGGGAGGGAGGTACTTCATCCTCATTGTTGTCACCACCATCCTCATTGTTGTCACCATGCGGGGGAGGTACTTCATCCTCATTGTTGTCACCATGCGGGGGAGGTACTTCATCCTCATTGTTGTCACCATGCAGGAGAGGTACTTCATCCTCATTGTTGTCACTATCTGTCTTCACTGCAGCAGGAGACAAGTCAAACATCTGGGAATCTACTTCCAACTCCCTATCGCTAGTGGATGGGTCTCTTTTACAACAGGATAATTTTTCTTGCCGGAATCTATTTTACATATTTATAACTCTGCCATTCATCTATCCTTTGAACATTGCTGCCACATCTGGTCTGGTGCTTTTGTTATGTATTTAAAGATTCTAGATAAAATACAATGAATCTGTATGTACATTTATTGTAAACAAAAATATGCCTGATGAAGGCCGGAGAGCACAATGGACAAAATATTGTGATAATATGACAAAGATGAGAAGAGAGACCAAAATTTAAATACAATTCTCTCATTTTTGGCACCATAGATTCAATACATGAAACTGTTGTATTTGCTGGTCCTTAAGATATGCTAGTTTTATAAAGGCACAGTTGCTTCAATGGAAATATGCTTAATATAATTAATGTCTTTGAGGATTGGCTCCATGTTACCAATGTATTGTATGCAGTGAAATATTTTAATGCTTTTTTAAGTGCCTTCTATGCTAATAAATATGTGTGTATACAGGGTAGAGTATGTGGAGTAAGTGGCCATGACTAAATGCAAAATAAATGGCAGAACTGCCCAACAAACAAAATTTACAAAGTTTGTAATTAACAATGAAAAGAAAAGAACAGGATAAAAAATAACATAAAGTAAGCAAACAATATATACAAGGCAAATTAACAGTAATAAAGTTAGGAATTGTGTTAACAGTAATAAAGTTAGGAATTGTGTTAACACATAAGCGGGAATGATTGCAACATTCTGACTTCAATACAAGAGTGGGACTAAGTCAGATGAGACCAAGAACTGGCATATCTTATTGTCTAGAAAGAAATCCCAGAATGCATCTGTGTGGTTTTGCCTATAAATTGGTGAGAGGTAAGTATTTTGCAGTCATCCCCAATAAAGATTGGAACCAACATTATTTAAGAAAAATTTCATTATTTGAAATGTAAATATCTGGGTAATTAATCTCGGACAGTATTTCTCAACTGGTGTTCCCAGCTCATTAATGCACTCTGAAAGATTGCAAGGTGTGTGCCACAAGTTAAGAGTAATTTAGGAATTATTTTTATATTTAAAAACATCTTTATTTTTAAAAAGCTAGAAACACCAACTACATGGCTTCCATGTCTAAGTTAAGTCTTTATTTGATATTCTAAACTGGATGCTAAATTCCTTAATCTTTAAGAAGATATTTAGTTGTTTCAATTTTAATATATATTAAAGTATATATACTATATATTACTATTTAAAATATATTATAGAATAGGTATATTGACCTTGTATAAAAACACATATGCTGCTGCCACACTGAATGATTTTAAAACCCTAAGTTGGCATATAGTTAACAAAAGGTTGTCAACCCCTGCTCTAGCACATAAAACACCTTTTCTTTTCCAGTGAATGGCATTTTTGTACCTGAAGAGAAAACAAAAACATTAAACATAGAATTTTTAGTTGTTTCTACATGTGCTGTTAAAATTTGAGATCATTTAAACAAGAATTAAGTTATTAAATTATGGAATGATATTAATTTTTCTGAAACACTCTGTATATTGTATTTATTAATATAAATTTTTGAGATTATATAAGGCTCACTTTTCAATGTTATTTTGAAGAAGTGAGAAAGAATTCATTGTGTTAAAATGTTTATCAGAAAATGTATATCATTGGAGGTAATTTTTGGCTTTTCATTAGAAGTTACTTGTAACTACCAATTGCCATTTTAGAGAGCACTGATGAAGAAATACTGAACTTTATTAAGGTATTTATCTGGATTATTTGAAATAGTATCTTTATTCTTGTTGTTTTGATCACTGTTTTGGCTGATGTCTTCTCTCACTTTCTTGTGAATATATGTAATCTTTAAATCTTGTCCACAATTTTTTCTTTACCAACATTTGCCACCACTTTGGTACACTTGACAACAACTGGAAAATGCATTAATTAAAGCAACAAAGATGAGAATGCTGAATAAGTTACCGTATGATGTCAATACTTTCTTGTAGAACTTTAAATAAAATGTTATCACTGGTGATATTTTTTTTTGATTTTTTTAAAATATTTTTAACAGAATTACACTGCTGAGGTTTTCCATATCCCCCTAACAACCATATGTATGGGACAGAATCTGTTTGTGATGCCTGCATACTTACAAATGTTTCCACTTTTAAAAATTGACGTCAGGGAAATTGACATCCGTTTGAGAATTTCCAAGGTGAGTTCTTAATCTCGTTTTCTACTAATCACTTCTGACAATATTTTTCTACTATTGAAGGAATGTTACTTAACCCGTTGTACTGAAGAGATCAAAGTGTCAAAAAACAAAAAAAAAAAACAAACCAAAAACCAAAAGAAACTCTGAAATCCCTAGCTTTCCCAGAAACAATTCATTACCTCCTGGACTAACGTTTTTGAGTGACATGAAGTGGAAAGAGTATATTGAATCAATCACTAAGTCTGCAACTAAGAAAGTTTGTTCAATATGTTGTGCTAGACAATTTTTCTCAACAGAATCTACCTTACATATTTGTAAGTCTACCATTCACCCTTGCTCTGAGTATTGCTGCCACATCTGGTCTGGTATATATTTAAAGATTCTTGACAACATCTGAAGAAGAATCTGCAATGTTATTGTCCCTGACCTGACATCTCAGCTTCAGTCATTTTCACATTGCTGTAATGTAGTTTCCCTGTGCCTTCTCTTTAAATACTTTCATGGTAATTGTTGATGAATTTTCCTCTATGGTACCTAGACTTTATGACTTTAAGTGCAGTACTATATTGGCTGCAAGGTCTCATCCTTTTACAGTTGAATTGGTTAGATGTAACTGTAAGTTCTATGCTAACAGTTTCTTCTATCACATTTCTCACTTGTAGAACTCTCTTCCAGCTTCTTGTTTCCCAGTCAACTTTGATCTTCAAAAATTTAAATGCAATGTCAATTGTTATTTTCTGTCTTTTTAATTTGTATTCTTTTATTATCCTCTCTTCTTAATAGTATTTTTTTCTCAACAATCAGTAGTGGCTTTATTGCCTTGCTTGGTGAGAAATGACTAAAAATAAAAACCCTTAATTATTCCATGAAAAAAATGTCCTCTTTAAATTACACTTTAAAATACAGCACAAGTGTAAATGTTTAATTGGACTTGTGTTAAATCTTTGAAGCATTTTGACTCTCAAGTTATTGCTCATCATCAGGTGATGGAAACTGTCATTGAGATGCAAGCATGGAGTAAACTTTATAAGATAAAGACTTTTATAAAGTCCAACAATTATTTGATATATTTTCTGTTTATACTTTATTTTTATAGATACAATTTATTTAAGTAAATGCTTTGTTTTTTAATTAAACACTATTGATAACATTTACTAGCCTGAATGAGAAATTTCGTAGAAAATATGCTAACCAGACAGTTCTCTGTAAATAATGGTATATAACATCAAATCAAATAACTGTTTCTGTATACAAATACAGATTTGATTCCTATTAGAGAACACATATTTTCTGCAAAATTTCTCAGTAAATTTAATTAATACTGTTTAATTAAAAAACAGAGCATTAATCCATTTAATTATATGTAGTCATTGTTTACATTCAGATACATTTTGTGAGCAGAAATGATCAATTGAGAAAAATCATCGAAGATTGTGTGTTTATAAACTGTAATTTGAACTTTGCTTCTCTGTAGTTAAATGGTATAGTACGTCAGATCACATGATGGTTTCCGAACATTCAGGCCAGTCAATGTAATTAATGCTGTTTAATTAAAAACAGAGCATTTACTTAAATAAATTTTATCTATAAAAACAACATATAAACAGAATATATATATATATATATATATATATATATATATATATATATATATATATATAGGAATTTTCAGAATGAATTTTAATTAATCTGACAGATTTATATAACTTTAAAAATTATTTTTAGTGGATAATCATATTTGAGTAGTCACTCCATGTATTTATTAAACAGTATATTTATTTATTTTTGCCTACTGGCCTGAATGTTTGAGAAATCTTATTAATGAAAATTCTCTGCCCTTTGAATTGAACCTGCATCCCTCTGGGCAGAGGGAGCTACTCTTTAGTCTGGAACACATTACCGTTTTGCCATGAAGAAACAGAAAGTCAAAGAGATCTATGAGAGGAGAAATTACAATTGAAAACATGAAATCAGCTTCACCTGTCTATTCCTTCCTCCTAAATTCTCTTATCAGTAGATTGAAGGTTTTGAGGAGCATGGAACCACCTCTTAATTGCTTTGTTCCCAGGTCCACCTTTCTGGCAGCAAGGCCTCTGATGGGGAGATTGGAGGTTTGGAGGAACGTGGAACCACCTCTTAATTGCTGTTGTTTCCAGATCCACCTTCCTGGCAGCAAGACCTTTGATTTGTTTCCAGAACCACCTTCCTGTTGTTCCCAGGTCCAAGAACCTCTGATGGGGAGATTGGAGGTTTGCAGAGCATGGAACCACCTCTTAATTGCTGTTGTTCCCAGGTCCGCCTTTCTGGCAGCAAGGCCTCTGATGGGGAGATTGGAGGTTTTGAGGAGCATGGAACCACATCTTAATTGCTGTTGTTCCCAGGTCTGCCTTTCTGGTAGCAAGGCCTCTGATGGGGAGATTGGAGGTTTTGAGGAATGTGGAACCACCTCTTAATTGCTGGACCTTTCTGGCAGCAAGGCCTCTGATGGGGAGATTGGAGGTTTTGAGGATTGTGGAACCACCTCTTAATTGCTGTTGTTCCCAGGTCCACCTTCCTGGCAGCAAGACCTCTGATGGGGAGATTGGAGGTTTCGAGGAGCGTGGAACCACCTCTTAATTGCTGTTGTTCCCAGGTCCACCTTTCTGGCAGCAAAACCTCTGATGGGGAGATTGGAGGTTTTGAGGAGCATGGAACCACATCTTAATTGCTGTTGTTCCCAGGTTTGCAGCAAGACTTTTGTTGGGGAGAGTAGGTTTTTGGTGGCCTCTTATAGGGAGGTTGGAGGGCCTTGAGGGGAGATGTGGAACCACCTCTTAATTGCTTTTGTTCCCAGGTCCACCTTTCTGGCAGCAAGGCCTCTGATGGGGAGATTGGTGGTTTCAAGGAGTGTGGAACCACCTCTCAATTGCTTTGTTCCCAGGTCCACCTTTCTGGCAGCAAGGCCTCTGGAACCAACCTCTTAATTGCTGTTGTTCCCAGGTCCACCTTCCTGGAAGCAAAACATCTGATGGGGAGATTGGAGGTTTTAAGTAGCGTGAAACCACCTCTTAATTGCTGTTGTTCCCAGGTCCACCTTTCTGGCAGCAAGGCCTCTGATGTGGAGTGTGGAGGTTTTGAGGAGTGTGAAACAAACTCTTAATTGTTGTTCTTCCCTGTTCCACCCCTACCCGGTGTGGCAGCATCTGCTAAAGTTCCAGTTATTGGCAAGTAGTAAATCCTCAAAACAAAAAAACAATATGAAGTTATAGAAATACATATTTAAAGTAAAATTCCTTACAAAACATCAACCAATATGGAAGGACATTCATGCCATTAATCCATATAATATCCTACAATTTCTTAAAGAAATCAAACTGTATTCCAATATATTACTTCAATAAAACTATAATATAAAATGAACATATTACTGCCTCTAGTGATTATGTACACATAAACATGTATATGCAGAAAAGCTGAGTATCATGTACCATGTATTCAATTGTGAAAGCAGAATAACATGTATCATATATTTGTTACTTTAAACCTCCCCAAGAAAATTAAGTTTTGACATTAAATGACTCATAAGGAGTTGTAGTGCTATTACATGAACAAATGAAATATTCCTCCCTATTTTTTAAGTTCACCAAAGATTATAACATCACATGTACAACTAATGTTTTTTTCTCCTCCAAAGATAGTTGGATTAATTAGGGTTGCATCTTGTGAACTGAGGTGTACATTATTTCATTGCTATTGTTAAGCTTATACTTAAACTTTCTTAAATATAAACAATATTCTAGTTATGAATAGTGATTGTTTATAGTCAAAAGGAATAGACATGTGAACTTGTGGTGAAATAGGACTGAAGAATTTTAACCTACCTATAGCTAAGATGTCTCACTTACCATTTGCAATTTAGGTAAAGCACATGCATGGTTCTAGTGCTTTTAAAGCTATCACTAATTTGCAGGTGTGGTCAGAAACCTGAATAATAGGGCATCTGCACAGATGAGCAGAGGGAATGATCTACAGAACTTGACCTGTGCTAGCTGTAGCTATAACTTCAAAGCCATCATTCCAGGTTTTTGCTTTCTCTTATTGTCAGATGGAAATAATCAGATAAAAATAGATTTAGACAAGAATAACAGTATTGGGTAGAAATAATATTATAGTTATAAGAGCCAACAGTATAATGCATGAGTAATTAAAAGTTCTCAATTTGATTTGGGCTTTTCATTGACTTGAATGAATAAAAATAAGATCCTAGTTCCAAAAAATTGCACAGAGCTTATTCTTTGCCCTGCAGCTTCTTTTATTATATAAAATATAAATCAGAAAACATGTTTTAGATTTTGCATGCCTTAATATGCTGCTATATATATATATATATATATATATATTGTTATGATGTTGATTTGGGGTTAGTAGAGACAAACACCAAATAACACGTAACAATAAAAAGGGTTTTAATAGGTTGGTAAAAAGGTACAGAAATCGCCTCAGTAGTCAATAACTAGCTCAGCTAAGAACTTCTCTGTCTATCTGCCTCTTCCATGTCAACTGACATGCCACTATTTAAAGTCTTTGTTCACAGACGCAGACAAGTTCATCTTCAAGAGGGGTGGTATATATATATATATATATATATATCACTAGATCTCCTCAGGCAAGTTGAAAAAGCTGTAGTATAGTGAACTCCACAATGAACTTATAGAACACTGGAAGGTGGATGGTATTGGTGGGAGTGGGACTAAGAAGTGGGAGGGTCGCAAAAAAAAAACCTTTAGGTGAAAATACTCATCCGGGCTCGTAATTGTTCAATAAATATTTGCGTAAGTGCTTGCTCCCAGTTAACACCTCCTCAGTCCTTTCATTGAGCAACACTTGCTTGTCTGAATAAGTTGTTATTGCCAGCTTCTCTTTCTGACCTAGACGTCAGCCTTTATCATGGACTCCATCCGGGTTGACTTTTCTGATTATCTTCCACTTCACACATGGATCTCTACCGTTCCTTGTTTGTA